ACTCGTGGACTGCGTCAACAAGAATATAATATAAAAGCTAAAAGGCTGCAGTACAACGAGTTTCATCCGTCCTCATCTGGTGAGATCGATCAACGAATCTCTTCTTCATGCACTTTCATCGAAATGAAGGTCCCCCTAACAATGGGATCACTTTGTTTAGGTGGAATTAATTTCATAATGAGTATAAGTTGAGTCATATATACAGTGTGGTCAATTCGACTCAATTCGACTCAATTCAACTCAACTCAACTCAATTCAACTCTATTCGACTCAATTCAGCTTAACTCAATTCAATTCAAATCTATTCCACTCAACTCAATTCAACTCTTTTCGACTCAATCCAACTAAACACAACTAAACTAAATTTCACTTGACTGGACTGCACTACAATTTCTAGCTCGCCTTGGAGCCTTCTCGTTTTGTTTCTGCTATTGCCCATCCGGTCTAGGGCATGTCGACTCAACTGGAAGTTCACTTTAATACGTCACATTAGGATCACTTTGTTTGGGTGCAATTACTTTCATAATGAGTATAAATTATGTCATATGTACAGTGTCGTCTCGTAAACCGACTTCTTCATCGAAACAGATCATTAAATTGTTTTACATTTGGTATATGTTTGAGTATGAAGTTGGTGGAGCAAAGTAGATTGGCAAATTAAACGATCTATTGGCTAAAGTTTGCAATCTGGCAGTGGTCACTCAAATTCGGACGCCTAATAGAGACTGTCTATGTGTGTTTGTGTGTGTGTGTGTTTACGTGATAGCGAGTGGGTGGAATGGGCGAATGAGGAGGGGAGAATGGGAGGGGGGCAAAGAGGAAAAAGAGGCGCATTCGGTTGAGTCGGCTGAGAGCGTACTTGTTCCCTTTCGGGCCATAATCGCATGCAGACATGACGAAAGAGCAAGCCTTTGCTGGCCCCACCTTTCCTGTCTGTCGGTCTTGTATGTCGCGACAAATACGTTGTCATCTTTCCTGTCCAGTGTGGGCATGCGCTTGGACATAATCACAAAAAGCAGGCTCGACTGAAACAGACAGTGAACCCATTCGAGCCGAGGATCAGATCGAGTTCTGCTCGGCCGTAAAATGAGAGTGTGCCGTCTTGTGTCAGTCGCCACAAAGG